TCGCTCTACCTACAAAAGAGGATAAATAAAGTCATTACCTTTCAAGGGTTGGTTTACCATTATAAGAATGAGTATAGTCCATGAACAATGCATAAAGCACAAAGTTTCCAGGAGAAAGAAACAAGTCCACACAAATAAAGCCAAAGTTCAGTAACATATCTAAATCATCAAAACCAAACATGTAAGCATATGCATTTAGGCAAATTGAGAGTTGAGTGCTTTTCTCATTTTAAACCAACTCAAACATAAAAACATAAGCAAATGAACAATCTAACAGTTTCGGTAGCAAACCAAACTAATAACACTTTTCATTTTCTTTGCAAGTAGTTGTGAGCACGATATTTTTGTCTCATATGAATTACTCCAAAAGAATTCCCAAAATTAGGTCTTTTCATTAATTATGTGTAATTCTTTTTAGGAATTATTATGTGATTTCCCTGATTGTTTGCATATATTTGTGTGCATGTTTAATTTTATTAATGCATTAAAAATACAAAAATATAGCATTTGCATTTAAGATTTGATATTTATATTTTTGGAATTAATTAATAATTAGGTGCTTTACAAAATAAAAATTCAAAAATAATAATAACATGTTTTGTTATTTTAGTCAAATTGTTGTGATTTTATTTTAATTTGGCATTTAATTATTTGTAATAATTATTAGTTGGAGTAAATTAGTATTTTAAAGTTAATTCTGGTTTTATAATTTAATTAGGATTTTAGTTTTAATTGTTGAAAAGGAAAGGAAAAGAAAATTGAAAAGGAAAAGAGAATAAGAAGAGGAAAATCTGGTTGGGCCAATTTGGCCAAGCCCAAAACCAAAACTCAGCCAAACCCAGCCAAAAAACCAGCCCATACCCGTCCCAACCCGTTCTGTCTCCAACCTTAACCAAACGACGCCGTTTCGAGCATCTCAATCTGGATCTTTGATTTGATGATATCAAACGGTCCAGAATCTCACCCACAACCCGAACCCGACCTAATTCCTGAACTGATCCAACCCCAGAACTAAAACGACCCCGTTCCGTTCCCAATTGATTGCAACTGTTGGATTTCTATCATCCAACGATTCACATTAATCACCCCATTTTAATAATACAAAAAACCCCCAAACGACCCCTACCCCCCAAAATCAGAACCCTCCCATTCGTCTCTCATCGATTCAGAGATGACCTTGTCTTACCACCGCCCTCTGGCCACTGGAAATCGCCCCACGGCGGTTCCGGTGGTCCAATCCCTCCCAAAAATACACCCCAGAACCCTCTCGATCTCCTCTCCCCAAATTCCCAAACCATTTCCTTCCAATCTTAGCCAAATCCCTTGAATTTCAGATCAAGGCCTTCGAATATTCAATCGAAGATCGACCAAAACCCTAACTAATCTAATCGATTCCAAGCTAACACCCAAGGTCCACCTGACTTCCCTCATCCCTAAACCACCCCTAGTTCCCCTCGAATCAAACCAGAGTTTGTCGAATCTCAATTCGAATGAACGAACGCTGAGTTTTTAAATCAAGAGCCTGTATTGAAGATTTGAGGCCGAAATAGGTTTTATTCGTGTGTTCTCGTTGGAGAACTCGTGATTAGACCTATTTCGACCAAAATCAAAAGATGTCGGATTTTGTTCAAGCCGAGCTGGTCGTTCATTTTAGGTATTTCCCATTTCCATTTGGAGTTTGTCATTTAGCTTTCATTTTTTCTCATTTTTCTCTTTTTTTTGTTTCATCTCATTTTTAGGCTTCATTTGATATGTGTCTTTTTGGATTAATTTTCTGTCACGTCAATTTGTTTTGGTTTGGTAATTGGTGTTGACTCGTTAATTTTAGTCAGTTGTTGAAGCTCGTCAGTTGGCCGATTTGTTAGAACATTGCCGATTTTGCAATCGATAAATTAAGTGTCCGTTTGCTAAAATTAAGGATTAGTTCATCATAATCTTTGAATCGCTTAGTCGGTCGTCTCATTGTTTTGAATTGCTTGGTCAGTTGAAATACTTTGAAAATACATGAACTGTTGTTTTGGTTGTCACCTGAACCTACTGTGTCATTCCCTGTAAGGGTGTTTGAATCATTAAAATCCTTGGCCTTTATTTTGTTGCTATTTGATTCAACCTGGTTCAAGCTTAAGCTGTTGTTGAGTTTGATGAATGGAATCCTACTATTTAGGGTCTGAAATGAATCTAACATTGGTATGAATTCTGTGTTGATATGATAATTTTAATCAGATAGTAGTGAGTTATAAGGTTGCATTCAGAACTTAGGGAATTGGTTATAGCTGCAGTCACAAGGTCTTCAGGGGCATTTTGGGTGGTTTAAAAGTTTGGCAAATGGTCTTGCTAAGTGGGCTGTCAGTAAAGTACTTAATTAACCATTAATCTAATGTGTTAGTGGGGAACAAAACATAATAGTATGGGGAGGTTTAAAAGGAATTGATTAAAATATGTTGTCCATACCTGCTTGAACTTTAAATAAAGAAAAGACAAGGGTTAATGGGGAACAAAAACATACTCTAGTGGAGTTCTAAAGAATATCATGGGTAGAATTAGTTTCTTAATTCTGCCTGAGTGCCCTTACGAGCTGGCAGGGTCAGTGTTTGGGTATAAATGGAGGGACTTAGGACAGAGTTAGGGGGGTTTTTTTAGAGAAAGAGATCAGTCTTTGATTAGTTTTTTTAGAAAGTTAAAAGAGTTCAAAAGGTTCTGAATTTTGAGGCCTTAGGAGTTTTGAGAGAGGTTCTGTTTTTTGGTTCCTCTCCAATCAGTCTTAGAGAGCAGTTTTGAGGGTCCAAAAGATCAGTTTTATTTGAGGGCTTTTAGGATAAGTTTTCAAAGGTTAAATTTAAAAGAATCTTTGAGGAGAGTTGATGCCAGTTTTCGAGAGTTTTAAACATCAGTTTCTTTTAGAGAGTGCTGGAGAGTTTAAGAACAGAAAACCAAAAGAAAGATCCTATTTCATTGCATCCATAGGTGTAATTCGAATTCTGGACAGTGATTCTCATTCCTTTTGATTGCTTAAGTGTTTCCATGGTCTACTGGTTCAGTTTTGAGTTTAATACAAGCTTGGTTGAGCCTGTTTGTCTTGGCATTTGCTGTTGATGTTGGTTTACAACCTTTCTTTGTTTTTTTCTGGAGTATTGATTGAGTCGCTGCTGCTGGTGTATTGTTGTTGTATTGACTGCTACTAGCCTGTTGCTGACCTCCTTCTCTTCTCATTGTATTTCCATTTCCAGGTATCCCTTGAATCCACAGAAGATGAGATACAGGAATATGTAAAGTTGTTTACATGAAGCTTGATGAATGAATGATCTTTGGCCTTCAGTCTTCAATAACAACTTGTCTGGAATCCAGTAGCATAATGTGAAAGTAGTTAGTTTAGCCTGTTTCATCCTAGTCCAAGTAGTGTATTATGGGAACCATGTTGCTCTTTATTTCTTATCTGAATATTTGTGGTATGTAAAGTTAATGGAATACTTGAGATACTGTGTATATGGACTATTAACCTATGCCCATTCCCTTCAATAGAATCAACTTTAGTGTGGTTCAATTTTTAGTATAGTCCAAGTATGGCACCCTGTTCTATAAGTGTTAAAACTGGAATATGATGGAGCCTAAAAGGTTAAGAAGAATGCCTATGTTCGTACCAGTAATTCCATGTATAATAGATAGTAGAAATGGTTTATACTTCATTGTCCAGTGTCAATAACCATATCCTAGATATCATATAGTCGTAGTTCAGAAGTTGCATCTTTTCTAGCTTCGATATTGAGTTATTATGATTCGCCCACTAATTACATATTGAAGGAAAGGATTGAGGCATTAGTGTAAGTTTGTTTGGTTAAAGTCTGAAATTTTTGGACCATGGAGATTGGGCTTGAATGCGTGCCAAACGAGCCCAAAGATTTCCAACCCACAGAAAGGTCTCCTAGGGGAAATTAAAAGAACGTTGGGCTCTAGAACTGATCCACGACTTTGAGCCCAAACGTTGGCGGCTGAAATGCCGGGTTGCTGCAATCGTGCACAAGCAAATTCATTATTTGGACTTGGTTGGAAGAATTCAATTCTAGTTCAACGTATTATAATTCAACACATAATTAACTAGGACTCTTTCTTTTATTTTAGAGACAAATAAAATAGAGAATCATAGTTGCTCTTAGGTTTGCCCTTTAAATAATGAACGAGATGAGCCTCATCAAATAAAGCACCTAGATTGTGGGGACCTCGATAATTGTATATATTAAAATACTTAGATTTCGGGATGGGCCGTTTAGCGAATCTCACGGCCTTCCCCAAAATAATGACGCATTAGTCTCTTTAGGCGCGTATTTTAACATTACCTCCCTAAACTCGGGTGCGCATTTATGTGACCCAAATTCAAATCCCAACGATGTTAAAGTATGTCCAAAAACCACGGGTGCATTTATGTGACGTGGTTCAAGACTTGTTTTAATGACGTTGCAATTTTCTCAAAAAATGAATAAAATCGGTTAAGGTTAAAATTTGCACATAGGTTCATAATTGTTAAAATCAGATAATTTAAGCCAAATATAATAGTTGAGAGACCGTGCTAGAACCACGAAACTTGGGAATGCCTAACACCTTCTCCCGGGTTAACAGAATTCCTTACCCAAATTTTTGGTTGGGGGACTGTAATACAGAGTCAATCTTTTCCTAGATTCGGGATTCAATCGGTGACTCGGGACACCATAAATCTCCCAAGTGGCGACTCTAAATCTTTAATAATAAATCACGTTTCGATTGTCCTTTAATTGGAAAAACTCCCTAATGCCCTTGCGGGCGTAGGTAAAAAGGAGGTGTGACAGTAACAATCTAAAGTGGATACATTCCATGCGAAGCATAGCAAAAACTGTCAAGCAAAATACATATCGAAATAGAATTTTTGCAATATTTGTCACGCCCCAAAACAGAGGGACACAATCGGCGCTCGACCGGGTAGCCCCAGTCAAGCGGACTTTGGTGCCTTTCCTATCCCACGTGTTACCCCATGATTTCAATACTCATTATTCAAGTGAAATAGCCATTTATAATTAAATACATTCTTACGAGATATAATAACATACATGCTTACCTTACGTGATCTACAAGTTATACTGCCCAAATACATAAGTACACAACCCATGTTTCCTGTCTACGGAGCCTCTAAGGATACAAAAGAGTTTTACAATACTTGCTGGTAACAAGGCTCCGGTTATACCTTACACAAATACCAAAATAAAACTTCAAGAGGAAAAGCGACATGAGCCACGCAGGGCCCCGAGAGGAAAGGGGCTGACCAATACAGCTGACGGAAAGTGGAGGAGGTGCTACTGTCGGTGGACTGGAGTACCTGCTATAGAACCACCTATAATCATCACAAGAATGTAGCGCCCCCGGCCAAAGGGACGTCAGTACATTTGAATTGTACTGGTATGTATGAATAAACTTTATCCCAAGTAAAATCAATCAATACATAGATAACGAACAGTAATGGAATCACCAATCATTGCACATGAAAGGAACAACCAAGGCCAACAAGTTTCACAATCTCTCCTTTTCCCTTTTCAATATCATTTCATCCTATTAATGATTTCACGAACTTTCATTTCAATAGTGATAATGATCACATTCCATACTTATTACCTCGTCCACCCTTATTACCTCAGCCACCCTTATCACCCCAACCAATAATTTATCATTTTGTATTGCGATGTGCAACCCGATCCCACCAGACAATCACATTTCGTACAACAACAATAGTTCACAGTTCAATCACATGACTTCAGGCCATCCCGAATATCATTTCGCAACAACAATAACAATTCACAAAGAGTTTTCATTAACATCAGTACCATATCCATCATATCCATTAGCCCGTATACAATTCAAGTCACAACGATAATTGCCCACAACAAGCCATACATGATATTACCATAGTTGTTTAAATTGCATCGATTACGACTTCTTCCCATCATTTATTACACAACCCTTACCACATAAACACATTCACACACACACTTGGTTTGTTGCCATTTATTCACACCATCATATCGGAATGTTTAACCAATAATGTTCAAGGCATATTAATCACAATAATTTATGAAATAGGCCATCTTGCCTTAACACCCGTGAAGCAACCAAAATTCACAAATAGCCTACATAAGTAACACATACCAATTACTCGTACACCAAACAGGATGACTTTACAAAGGTTAAAGTTAGCCATACATACCTGTAGTCGAATTTCCTTTTTTTAACTCCTACTCTCAATTCACCGAACTGCCTAGTACCGTCAATCCAATTCACAAGTTAATACATATATCTTAGAATTGAAATTCACAAATACAACCCGAACTCACATAGATTATCATCCCCTCCTTTTTGCAAATCTTTTACTCCTACCCAATTCGTCTTACTAGATTTTAGATATTAAAGAACATGCATGTATGGTTCAAATTATATTTTAAAGAATCAATTAATGAGAACCCCCTTTTTGTTTAAATCTAAAAACCTATGAAAAAGGGTTGGAGATTTTACCTGCAAGAGCGAAGATGAAGATAATTACTCAAAATTTCCAGGCCTGGGTGACTTTGAAAATTAAATTGATAGAGATGAGACTTTCTCTCTCAAGAATCCTCCCTTCCCCCTCTCTACTTTTGATCAGAAAATGGGTTAAAATGAAGGGTTGGGATGTTTTATTGAAGAAGGGGTCGAGTTAAAATGATGGGTTAAAATGAAGGGTTTGGAGCCCCGACACGGAATGCGGTCATAAAATTAAAACACACTATGCAGGTATGCGACCACTATGCGGTCCGCATACACGTTATGCCATCGCATAGTGCATCGCATAACCTCCCTCACCAAAAGTCAATGGGCAATAATGCGACAACTATGCGGTCCGCATAACCACAATGCAATCGCATTCTGGACCGCATAGTTGTCCTCCAATTGAGCAGTGGCCTGCCCATGTATGCGACCATTATGTGGTTCGCATACATATTATGCGATCTCATAATACGTTGCATAATGCCCTATTCCTGGAAAATTTTATCTTTCGTATTCCGGGGTACTTTTCACTTAAAAGGTCAAGAATTTCTACAGTTATAACAACACAGGGACCTACTCGACATTATTTTCGGCAAGAAATTTTACGGGTCTTTTCAATATTGACTTCGAAGAAATATTGCAACATAGCTCATATCATACTAAAAATGGACAACACGAAAATGGAAGCTCTGTGTTATCTATTTTCCCAAAAGAATTATGATAATACGGGAAAACACATACGTTTTAATGAGCATTATCACTTCAGCCAAACATGAATGACCAATTCAGACATATTTTGGATTCTTGAACTTGTTCCACTTAACTGGGAGTAAAGAACAGGTATAGCTATATAAGGTAATAAATTATTTCATCGTGCTAAAAACTTTCAATAAGATGGACAAACACAATAGTCATTCATTATCTTCCACAACTACAACTTGCTATGGACTTACATTTTCATTTACAACAAAAAAACTGTTGTGATATGAACCTACTGTAGTTGGGATTAAGCTTTAATGAACATAAGAGCAGCTTATCTATCAACTTCAACCCATAATTTCCAAACATAATACCTAAAGGTCACAACAATGCCAAATTGAGGGAATACAAACAACTTAAAAATAATATTTTAATAAAAAGGTGGCACACGAACCATACTTAGACTAACTCAATAACGTTAGAAATTTTTTTAGCTTTTAGCAGCTTTGCAGAAACATATGCATTCAGTTATTAGCAGCTTTGCAGACCAAATTATCACCCAAAATAGTATAGAGAGCAGCTGCCAGTACAAGAAACCCAGAAACATATATATTCGGTAAATTTTCTTTCTTGGTACAAGTAAATAGGCAAGATTATAATATCCAGAACAACACACAAAGAATTATACAACCACAAAGAGTTGTTAAGGTAACCACAGAAATACACAACGACAAAGGGCCGGAGGCGAAGTTAAAAAATGACTAGACTAACCAGACTTAGCCATCTTACTAACTTCCCTATGAAAAAAATAGAATAGATCCAGAGCAGTGGTAGAAAAGCAACAGAAGGATGAGGAGGAGGAGGAGAAGAAGAAGGAAGAAAGAAAAGAAAGGGTGCAACATTTGGAGTACGTACTGACCTTGATTGTTACTCTTAGTAGATAGATGATTGTTTAGTTGCATAGCAGCTTGTTGTGCAGAGGAAGTCACTCCAGGTGAACAGCATTGAGAGCTAGCATGTTAGGAGCAACACGTAATCCTGGATTCAAACATACTAGTAAGTTAAATCCTACTTTAAATAGCCGACATTGATAATGTTTTATACATACTTCAAAACATGAATGTCGTATACTAGAAGTTGTACCCATACAATCACCTGTAATGTTTTCTATCCAACACTTTGAACCAGTTACTTTGAAAGTTAGACTTTTTTGTCTAACATAAGTAAAACACTCTTTATCCTAACAAGTTTTCCGACAGTAAAACTAAAGCAAGATGAAAATAAATGTAAACATAACCATAAAATTTGTTGCTTTTGGATATTGAACCAGAATTACTATTAGACTAGTAACACTGTGCTCCAAATAGAATTGCAAGTAGATATCTTAAATATGATTGGTAGTATGATGGAACTTGGAAAAAACTTTAAAGAGGCTCTATAGGTACTTAAATGCATATGCACATCTCAGTTAGTCAATGAAATCCATATGCACATCTCAATTAGTTGTCCAGTTCTTGAACTTGCAATCTTTGGAAGTCTATTTTTTTATGCTTTTCAGTACCTTCTTGTTTGGTAGTCCAAGGAGAAAAATTGTATATAAGTCAACACATGGATTGAGAATCTAGAACATCTACCGACCTATTCTCCATTCGAAGCTCGTCATTCTCATAGAGTTCAAAATGGTCTTTCTTTGACTGATTTTTACACTTTCTCCAAGCATTCTGAATTGAGTCAAAAACCCACTTTTTTGCATCTTCATAAATGTTATTCTTTTTCCTACAAATTTAGTGCAATTAGGTTAGTGTAAATAATATGAAATATGCACACACATATTTGCCAAAAGAAGAAAATGTAAGTAAGAAAATAGAGAACAGTATTTAGAAATTTTCTAAATCCAACATCCAAAAATTTAGTATCATATGCTTACAAAGAGATTTTTAAAAAATAATCCAATACCATGTCAGTATCTTTAACAAAAAAAAGTCGAGGAGGAAAAAATTAGTCATTTTAGAAAAATCAGACTTCCTTTTACTACTCTATTTCAAACACAAAATTAGTTGAAGATACTAATCTATTTCAAACACATAGTTAGTTGAAGAAAAATTGGACTTACTTGAAGTTAAATGTATGAAAAAGTAATATTGCCGCTAAGGAATTATTATAAATGAGTGACTGCTTTAACCAACATTCTTCCTTTAGCAGCATTAACAACAAAACGACATACAACCTCCACCCAACAGATTTTGAGCCCTAACTAAAACTACTAACTCTGCTAAAAATTAACAAAACTAAACTTCAAACAGATAGAGAAGACAAGGGACTGAGGGGTTGTCGATTCATATTAACACACAGCAGTGACAATGTTATTGTATGGAGCAGATGACAACAAGTTTAACTCACAATCTTTAAATACAAAAAGTAAAAAAACATCCAACTCTTTTACCCTTTTTCCTTTTGTAGGTCTTTTTTCTTTAAGATAAGAAGAACTTTTTTAACTAAAAATGAGCATACATCCTAATTTAGTAAGATACAAGCCAATTAAGATTGTATATGATTTTACCATACTAATCTCATCTTGTAACAACCCAATTTTACCCAAGCAAAACATACTTCTTCGAAAATAGTTGAACAAGATTGCCTCATTTACCTTCGTTGAGTTTAAAACAATTAGAGAGACTAAATGAGAAGTACAAAATTGTACTAATCTTACGTTGTTACCTTCTATGATTCTCATATCACTTAGGCAGAAAAAAAATACTATCACTCCAAATGATACTTCAGTCAATTACATAAGAACAATCCAATCATTCGACTAACACTATCTCACAACTCTATTTTTGCATATAGCAATAGACGACCAAAAAATATCTACGTCATACACAACTCTTAATTATCAACAAATTTTTAACCCCCCTCCTCCCCAAACCAAAAATTAATCTTTCGAAACACAAATTATTAGAAAAAAAGGTAAGGAAGAAAGAATCAACAATAAACAAGAAAACCCAGTACATGTTTTTCCTCATTATCAATTAATATAGCTACAGAGAATAAAATAAGCAACAAAGAATTAAAATAAGAACCTGTTGGGATAAAAGAAGTCTTGGGCAAGAGAAACATAAGCCCTAAGAAAATCCAATTTAGGTCAATAGAGGAAAACCCAGTTGGTAAAATCAGAGAGTGAAGAGCTAGTGTTGGAGAAGGAGGCTATCTCATTGATGGAGGAGAAGAGATGGTAATATCTGATACTTGGGTGTTTCGATATTTGTGAAGCGCCTATAGAATAAGGGATTTTGGGTGTTTTGGGGGCTAAAACACTAACACAATTAGGCCACTTAAAAAAAATATGGGACCGATAGGGTTTAATGAAATTTAGGGAGGGAAAATGAGGTGGGAAACATTGACAGTCGCCAAAGAATATTTTTTCAGATAATCGTTACCACAGAATAACCTACTGCTATGGTTACGCAAACCGTCACAATTGATTACTGTATGGCAACGGTTATTTTGATAATGCAACGGTTTATTTTAATAAGTGTCCTAATAGGTTAAACAGTCTATAGGAACGGTTATAAACATTGCCATAGGTGTTCTATGGTGACGGTTTAGTAACCGTTGCTAATTAACTGTTTCCATAGGCTCATTTTCCAGTAGTGAAGAATAATACAATTAGAGGTCTGTAAGAAATAAATACAACACTGTCTTTGGAAACGCATGAAAGAAAAAGGAATAGTAGATAGAAGGAGATGCCAAGGCCTGCAGATGCCTACAAGACTACCTCGGGTCGCTTGATGAACAAGGATCAGCAATCCCACTAAAGTCCGAAGTCAACAACATTGGGGTCTGCACAAAAGAGTGCAAAGTGTAGTATCAGCACAACCAACCCTATGTGTTGGTAAGTGCCTAGCCTAACCTCGGCGAAGTAGTGACGAGGCTAGGACCATACTACCAAATAACTTGTGCAATTTAACTATATACAGTGGAAAAGAAGTACAGAAAGAAATCGTCATATACGGTCAAGTATGGGAGGGGAAAACATGCTGCGGGGAAACATCGAATAGTAACAGAAGAGCAATAAATAAATATGATGATCACCACAGTTCAATTGAAAATAGGAAAAGGAAAATCATGCTACAGGGTACAACAAGTATCAACAGGAAACCAACAATTAAGTGTAGAGAAACCGTGACACAGTTATCAATAAAAATTAGGAAATCAAAGACAAGTGCACGGCATCACCCTTCGTGCTTTTACTCTCTCTCACCAAAACAATACATGACATCACCCTTCGTGCTTTACGCTCTTCCTCACACAAACAACAATCACAAGGCAAATAGGGTAAAGGAATCTATAACCTCGAAATAAAATCAAGTAACAACAGAAAATCAATGAATAAATGTAAAGGGCAACATAACTCAATTATCAGCAAAAATCGAGGAAATCAAGGACAAGTGCACGGCATCACCCTTCGTGCTTTTACTCTCGTACTCGCCATAAGAATTAATAAAATAGGAACAGAATAGTACATCGTGTGGCACGACATCACCCTTCATGCTTTACACTCTTTCCTCACCATGAAATCAATATAATAGGCACAGAATGGTACATCGTGCGGCACGACATCACCCTTCGTGCTTTAACTCTCTTCCTCACCCAAACAACAATCACAAGGCAAATAGGGTAAGGAAATAATGGAAATTTGCAACAAGAATCCCGGCAAAGGAGCAACAAGTCAACAATTAAATCCCGGCAAGGGAACAATATCAATAACATCAACATCCTGACAAGGGAGATAACAAATAAATCAACAAGAGCCCGACAAGGGTGACAACATAATGATCTCTTCTCTTTCTCACTTTTACTTCACGGTTCACTTCACAACTCGAGCCAATGCTCTAAAGGTTCAATTATCACTTATACCTTCCCAACTGATCTCACAACTCGAGCCAATGCTCTAAAAGTTCAATTGTCACTTATTCTTTCCCAATTCGTTATACAACTTGAGCCAATGCTCCTCAATGTTCATAAGTCACAATTCTTTCCACAAACTTTATACAACAAATAGAAACCATCACCAAAGCATGAAAGATACAACGAAGTCATGATAATCACAATATAAAGACTCACGGGCATGCTATACACCAACGTATAGATACTCATCACCATGCCTATACGTCGTACTCAACAATTACACAACGCAAATAGGACTCGACTCCTAATCCCTCAAGATAAGGTTAGACCAAACACTTACCTCGAACTTCCACGGCCTACTCAAGCCTCAAACACCGCTTTTCCTTTCCAATTTGGCTCCAAATGAATTGTATCTAGACATAATCGACTTAATAACATCAATAAATGCTAAACAATTCATTTCCAATGCTTAATTATAGCATTCCCATCATTCTTCCCAAAAAGTCAAAAATTGACTCGGGGCCTGCTTGTTCAAAACATGAGGTTCCGACCAAAACCCGATCACCCATTCACCCACGAGCCTGAATATATAATTTATTTTCATATCCGACCCCAAAACGAGGTCAAATTCCCAAATAATCAAAAGCCCTAACTCTACCCAAATCCCTAATTTTCTACCCTTAATCTCATGTTTTAAGCCTAGAAATCTAATGGGTAATAATAAAAATGGAAGAAAACAAGTCAAAGATTACTTTCCTAAGAGGTTATGGTGAAGAATTTCTTCAAAATTCGCCCAAGAGGCGTGGAGAAGAAGAAGTTGTGAAAAATGGTGAAATTTTCGTAATACATTCTATTTTTTGAACTTAAAAATAACTTGGCGGATTTTAGTCTATGCGATCGCGAAGAAAGGAATGCAATCGCACAGGGTAAGGGAGATTGGTCACTGCGATCGCGTTCAAGGCAGTGCGATCACATAGAAGAAAACGGGTTCCCTTCCCAGGCTTGGTCTAATATGTTGCGATCGCGGAAGGACCTATGCTATCGCATCGCACAAAAAAGGACCCTTGAAGTTTACACTATACGATCGCATAGCACAAAACAACTGGACCCCAGCAACAACAGAAAACCAGATTTTCTAAGGCTAAATCACCCCGACACCTATCAAAAACTCACCCGAGCCCTCAGGGCTCTAAACCAAATATACACACAACTTCAAATTATCCTACAGACTTGTTCGTGTAATCAAATAACCAATATAACATCATGAGCATCGAATTAAACCTCAAGATCAATGAAATTTCTCAAAACTTCTTTAAACATCAAATTTTGCATTTAAGGACCGAATCACGTCAAATGGATTCCGTTTTTTACCAAAATTTACCGACAACACATATAAATCATATTGAACCTATACCGGGCTTCGGAACCATAATACGGGCTTGATACCACAGGTTTTACATAACATTTCACTTTCAAAAACCTTTATATTTTTCAGAAAATAATTTCTTTCAAAAATTCGTTTCTCGGGCTTGGGACCTCGTAATTCGATTCCTGGCATACGCCCAAGTCCCATATGTTCCTACGGACCCTCCAAGACCGTCAATTTATGAGTCCGGATCCATTTACCCAAAATGTTGATTGAAGTCAAATTAATTTAAAATGTAGAATTTCATTTTAAAAACAACATTCTCCACCTCTAAAGCAACCGTTTGTCCTCGAACGGACATAAGAAGGAAGTACCTGAGTCGGGGAAAAGATGGGGATAACGGCTCCGCATATCGGACTCAGATTCCCAGGTCGATGCCTCAGCAGGCTGACCTCTCCACTGAACATGAACAGAAGGAAAACTCTTCGATGTCAACTGATGAACCTACTAGTTACCAGATCCTCCTCATAAGACAAGTCCTTGTCCAAATGGATAGTGCTGAAATCTAACATGTGGGATGGATCGCCGTGATATTTCCGAAGCATGGACACATGAAACACTGGATGCACGACTGATAAGCTCGGCGGCAACGCAAGTCTATAAGCCACCTCTCCCACTCGATCAAGAATCTCAAACAGGCCAATGAACCTAGGGCTAAGCTTGCCCTTCTTCCTGAATCTCATCACGCCGTTCATAGGCAACACTCGAAGCAATACCCGCTCACCGACCATGAAAGCCAAATCACGAACTTCGCGGTCGCCAGAACTCTTTTGCCTTGAATGAGCTGTACGGAGCCTATCCTGCATAATCCTAACCTTGTCCAAGGCATCCTGAACCAGATCCGTACCCAACAACCGAGCCTCTCCCATCTCAAACCATCCAACCAGAGACTGATAACGCCTACCGTATAAAGCCTCAAAAGGAGCCTGAATACTTGACTAGCAACTGTTGTTGTAGGCAAACTCTGCGATAGGCAAAAACCGATCCCACGAGTCTCCAAAGTCAATGACACAAACTCAGAGCATATCCTCCAAAATCTGAATAGTCCGCTCGGACTGCCCATCCGTCTGATGATGAAATACTGTATCCAACTCAACCCGTGTGCCCAACTCTTGCTGAACTGCTCTCCATATATATGAGGTAAACAGCGTACCTCGGTCTGAAATGATAGACATGGGCACACCATGATGGCAAACAATCTCCCAGATATTGATCTCAGCTAACCTCTCGGAAGAATAGGAGACCGCCACAGGAATGAAATGTGCTGACTTGGTCAGCCTATCCACAATAACCCACACTGCATCAAACCTCCTCTGAGTCCGTGGGAGTCCAACAATGAAGTTCATAGTGATACGCTCCCACTTACACTCATGAATCTCAATCTGCTAAAATAAACCACCGGGCCTCTAATGCTCGTACTTAACCTGCTCTTAATTCAAACACCGCGCCACATATGCAATGATATCCTTCTTCATTCTCCGCCACAAATAATGCTCCCACAAATCCTGATACATCTTCGTGGCGCCCGGAAGAATAGAGTACCGGGAACTATGTGCCTCCTCTAAATTCAACTCTCGAAGCCCATCCACATTAGACACACAAACTCGAACTTGTAACCTCAAAACTCCATCATCACCTAAGGTAACCTGCTTGGCACCTCCGTGCTACACCGTGTCTCTAAGGACACACAAATGTGGATCATCATACTGCCGATCACGAATACGATCCAATAAAGAAGAATGATTGACTATGCAAGCTAACACACGACTGGGCTCAGAAACATCCAACCTCACGAACTGATTGGGCAAAGCCTGAATATCCAAAGCAAGCGGTCTCTCACCGACTGGAATATAAGCAAAACTGCCCATACTGGCTGACTCCCTACTCAAAGCATCGGTCACTATATTGGCCTTTCTTAGATGATATAGGATGGTGCTATCATAATCTTTCAACAACTCCAACCACCTCCTATGCCTCAAATTCAACTCCTTTTGCTAGAACAAATACTGAACACTCTTGTGATCTGTGAACACCTTACATGCCACGCCATA